CCCCAAAACCCCAAAACCCCAAAACCCCTACACTGAATATTGGATTGAAATAAAATTTAAAACAGCATTATTCGTCCTTTGAAGCAACATCTGAAAGTATGAAGGCAGAGGAACCTCGAACTTTCGTTTTTAATCTGAAGGATCCACAGGGTTCAGAATCGTAACTGCAAGACTCCCCCAGTTCTTCTCTGATCTGAGGAAGTTGCATAGAATCCATGCTCATGCTTCTAAGCTCATGATGTATTAAGCATGCTTCTGAGTCAAACTCCATTGTTAGTGGTTGGCTTGGCTGACTTGATTGAATCACCTGACATAAGTCCTCAAATATTTCAAATTCTTGCACTAGAAGTTGGAATGCTACTAAATTCAAGGCTAATAGAATCACGATCATGCTCAGTTTCAAGAGCAGTGATCTGTAATCTGGGCTAGGATCAACTGGCTGTTCAGACAAGCTAATAATAATATCGTCGAACTGAGAACAATGAGAAGTATCATTTCCCTCAAAAGTAGGCATGAAGTATTGCCCAATTCTCATACGAATGCAACCTGAATTTTTAGAATAAGTCTCAAGACCCTCTTGCCTTACTACCATACTAATTACCCCAAACAACTTCTTAGCATAGCAATAAATGAGGTTATAATATCCATAATCTAGCTCGGTAATGGAACTTCTTGCAAAATTTCTAAACTCATAAAAGAACTTGGCTAATACCATTGCAGGAGTTATTCAGATTAGGGTATCGCATTTAAAGATATTCAGGATCAAAGATATGAAGATATTAATGAATCTTAAGATAGCATTGATAGGTAGTGCATAAGTTTGGAAACCAATCACCAATAATTTCAGGCCTTGCATGAGTGGTTCAATCTTTGCTCTGTTTTTATCCAACAGATGAAGAAATTTGTCTACATCTAAATCAGGAGAGCTCCTGAACTTGCTCAAATAACTTTTCTTTGACATGACTACAGCGATTAAGAACGTCAGGAACATAAATCTCATTAAATGCTTGTGCATATTTTTATTTATTTTAAGTCAACTTTCAGAAGGTGTTTGGGGTTTTGGGGTTTTGGGGTTTTGGGGTTTTGGGG